TCGTATCACACAGAATCCGAAAAGCTCCCAAATTCAAATCAGGGGTTCTCAAACAACAAATCCACATCATTTCTTTCATGGTTCGTAATAGTATTATTATTCACTTTTGCAGCTTCGGCATTAACTATTCTCTTTCTAGTCACCACCCTCATTATATTAGCAGCCTCTCTCATCCCACTCATAAAAGCCCCGTGCATCGTGGCCGGATACTGTTTATTAGTTGCTTCGCCCGCGAAAAAAACTCTATCTCCCACACTCTCCGCAAGAATATCGTAATCATCACCCGAAGCTCCAATCGCAACGTAAGAATACGAACCGTACGAGAACTGATCTTGACCCCACCTAGTACAAACCGCCTGAACTGGATCAGGAACTGCAATTCCTTTCGGACCGTAAATACCCCTCAAAATCTCCAAAACCCTATTCACAGATTCCACAGGCGACATACTTTCGAATTTTACAGCAGCTTCTCCAGCCACAAGAGCAATGAGGAGGGGCCCACCTGCTACCGACGAGTAGCTGTAGAAGAGAAAGAACTCCCCTCTCATATTAGGGTCCTCTGTCAAATGCCCAAACGTATCGATTTCTCCACCCCAGAAATCGTACGGGAACAAAATCGCAACTTTATTCAATAACCCAAACCCTAATCTTTCGATTGCGTCTTTTTTCCTTTGAGGAAGCTCCGGTGAAAACTCAATTGTGCCCTTCTTGAGCACACCTAGCGGCACTGTACAAAGCACTACATCACTTTGATACTCTTGCCCCCCTGCGTGTATTATAACCCCGTCACTTCCGTATCTCACACTCTCCACTGGACGGTTAAAAAAAATCGGAAGATCCTCTGCTAATGCTCTAATTAGCCTTTCATTACCGCCAGGTATAAAACAGTGATCTCCGCCCATTTCGTACGGGTCATCTTGATCCCAAAAAGCCATGGAAAGATTCGACATGAGTGTGGCATTAGCGTATTCGAGATTTGCTAAATGCCAATCCAATAGCATCCGTTCGAACGGCTCCTCTGCAACTTTGTACACACGCCTAAATGCTTCTAAAGCTGTTCCTAAAGAAATGTCCACATTCTTGATCTCATCCATGATGCCCTGCCTTAGCTTACAAACCCTATCCAATAACTTATTAAACGAGACCTCTACTTTCGAATCGACATCGGAATCGACCGTTCTACCGTTGGGTAAATACAAGGGGCAGATATCTCTCACCTTGTGAAGAGGGAACTCGAGCTGCCGTGCCAAAACTCCCAACGGGTTTCCGTTGATTCCGGTCAGCACACTGCCGCCTAAATCGGCGGCACCCACCACACTGCCGCCACTTCCGCTCATTTTCTTCGTTCGAACTCTGCCTCCGGAGCGGGACCTACCCTCGAGGACAACAACCCTAAAGCCGAGAAAAATCAACTGCCTTGCAGCAACTAAACCAGAGAGACCAGCGCCTATTACAATTACGCTTCCCTTTGGTGTTTCGCCGGAGAATTTGGTCTTGACAGCGGCGATAGCAGGGGCAACACCGAAGTTTATGTAGCCATGGTGGAGAAGGTAATTGTAGGCCGAGTTGACTAGGTTTTTGTGCTCGATGCGTATCGATTCGAGTACGTGGTCCTTTGTGAGCCAATCGGAGACGTTGGATCGCCACCTGGCGAGGATGTGGTTTCGAACGATAATATAGTTGGCTTGCTCTGCGCCACCGATTTGGGAGACTACGTTCGCCTCAATTTCTTCCTCCGTCAGGGAATCTACGGGGAATCCGACGGAGATTGCGATGAGAGCTTCGATGTCGACCTCCTTGGAGAGGTCGGGGGCGCCTCTGCGCTTGCGTTGGTGGCCGGAGAGGGGGTCGTCGATGTCTTCGGCGGCGGCGGCGAGTTTGGAGTGGGGGCGGATAACGCGGAGACGCGATGCGGTTGAGGAGATCATATCCGTGAAGATTTTTTTGCGGCGGCGCCGCCTCTTGCGGGGTTGGGGTTGGGGTTCGGCGATTGGGATGGGATCGTTGATTTCCATATGGTCGGAAATGGATTTGGATGGGGAGTGAGAAACGGCGGGGTCAGGATTCGTATTGTTCTGAGCGGAGGCAGGAACGATGGAGGTGGATTCCGGTGGTGACTCGGTGGTTTCCATCGGCGCCGAGTGGACGCCGGGGCTAGGGTTTTAGAGCTGCCGGAAACTGTTATTAATTTTGTGATTCGGGATAAGAAAAAAAGAAATTGATTCAAGTATAAATGTATAATACAAAATTTTGATAATTTTTTTTAAGAATGGCCGAAAATATATATATGAATTGCGTATCGGCCCTAATTAAATTGGGTCCAAATATAACAAAAAATGTGACCGATATACAATATATATAATTAATAAATTGCTATATTTTTTTAAGGCCCAAGAACTACTTTACCCCCTTGTACTCTTAATTTCGTCGATTTACCCATTTGTACTTGTAAAATTTTCCAATACAACCCTCTTCGTCAATTTTTTTCGATTTTGACTCTGACGCCATTTGGTCAAGAGTCAAAATATTGATGTAAATATTGAATTTTTTTTATTTTGACTCTCGAGATTAGAAAAGAGAAAGTTTCACACATTCATATATTTTTTTCTTTGTACTGGGTGGAATCGATCAATTTTTGGGTCTTGATATTTACTAAGTTAGGGGTTCGATCAATTTGGGGATATCTTGGAAGGGGAAGTGGTGGGAGAAGAAGAAATGACGATGTTGACGGAGGAGAAACGACGCGTTACAGGCAGTGGCAATTTTGTAATTTACAGAGTTGACCAAACGGCGTCTTAGTCAAAATTGACAAAAGTTGAAGGAAATGGTTGTATTAAGAAATTGTACAAGTACAAGGGGGTAAATCGATGAAATTGAGAGTACGATGGGGTAAAGTGTTTCTCAGGCAGAGTACGAGGGGGTAAAGTGGAATTTACCCTTTTTTTAGTTTGTGTTGCAACATGAGTTTGTCGAAACTTCTTCTCCTTTTCCTCTTTCTTTTTCCTTGGTATTTCCGTCTTTTCTCGTTGTTGGTTTCTCTCTCGTGAATTATTCAGAACGTTGTGACTTACTTAACGTGATTTTGAATATAAAGTTGTTGTTCGAAAACTCTTGTACGAACACGTTTTTATGAGTAGTAATATTTTTGTAAGTGGAAAACAAATGTAGTTGTAATAATAATATAAAGTAAGGGGATGTCCGAATATTTCGCATGAAATAGATAGCTAACTGTAAACGAAACTTAAAAGAAGGGCGTGCAATGTTTATAAGTATAGTATTGGGCAATCTAGTATATGAAACTAGCCAAAAGATATTTACAAGCTAAAACCCTTTATATCATTGGATAAAAAAGAAGGATATTGACATATTTTTATCAGTCAATAATCACCTATGTAGCAAGAAAAAGAGAACGGCGATACGGGAAAACGAATAAGGAGAAACAACATGTTCAAAAAATGGAGTTATGAGAATTTGGGGAAAACATGTAAATATTAAAAATATAAAAATATATTTATAAATATTCTATGTAAACATATATATTTAATTTATATATAAATTATTTTTATTCAAACATATTCGAAATAAATTATGTAAATAATTTGGGAATCAATTAAAATTTTGTTGTTCAAGCATGTCTCTAACTTTTTGCAAAATAATCCATAAAGTGTCCCACACATGTCTTCGAGTTTTGGACACAATATATTTCTATAACGCAAAAACGTTAATAAGTTGAAGTTTTCGTGCTACATAGGTGTTATCATAACAACATGACAACTACTAATTTTATTGAAGGGTAAATTACAACAAAACCCCCGAGGTATGATCAAATTACGAAAACCTCCCTCTTGTTTGGGTAATTACAACTAACCCCTCAACTATATAACTTTTTACACGTCCACCCTTGCGGTTTCAAATTTAGTGAAATCTTCGAGATTATATGGAATATTATCACTTTTGTACCCGTTTATTTCACATTTTGAAGCAAGATGATCATAATATGTGTTTTTTGGCTTGTATATATCAGATTGCGGTGCATCAGAAACTGTATTTTTACACAAACGAATACAAACCAGAGCATATTCTACGAAATCTAGATAATTACATTGAATTTGACACCATAAAGGTGGAAGTATAAGAAAAAATCATAGTTGAGAGAGTAGATATAATTATCCAAACAAAAAGAATTTTGTTCGTAAATTAACCATATCTCAGGGGTGGTTGTAATTTACCCTTTTATTGAATAATAATAACTTAATTTATAAAATAGTAAAAGAAAGAATAATTGCCAAATCCCGAAATGCAAAAATCAGGCATTCAAAACCTCAGTGATCAACCTATCCAAATTCAAACACGACGAACCACCGCAGGCAACGGCCGCCGCCGCCTTCTCTTTCCACTCCGCCGCCCTTTTCCTCAAAATCTCACCTCTCTCCCCATCCATCAACTCTCTCACTAGAATCCCCAATTCATCTCTCTTCACATCGCCGCCCTTAACCTCCACGCCGATCCCCCATTCCTCACACGCGTACCTGCAATTCACATTCTGATCGGCGAATAACGGCCAGCACAGCACCGGAACCCCACCGCAAACGCTCTCCAGCAACGAATTCCAGCCGCAGTGCGTCAGAAACCCCCCCACCGCCGCGTGGCCGAGCACCTCCTCCTGCGGGCACCACCCGGCCACGAATCCCCTCCCCCGGATCTCCGCCCAGAACTCCTCCGGAAGCGGCGCGTTCTCCCCACGCACCGAATCCGGCCGCACAATCCACACGAAATTCCTCTCGCTCCCGGCGAGCCCCCACGCCAATTCGATCAGCTGGTGTTGAGTTAGAACTGCGATACTGCCGAAATTGACGTAGATTACCGAATTTTCCGGCTTCGAATCGAGCCATTTGAGTACGGAGGCGTCTTCTCTCCAGAGGCTGGATCTCATCGATTTGGTGGCGTCGTCGCTCATGTTTTCCGACGGCTGATTGTGGAGGAGATGAAGAGATCCGACGGTGTAGATCGGCGGGGACATTGTGGAGAGGGCGGAAAGCACGTTCTGCTCCAGCGCGTCGAAGGTGTTGATGATTATCGCCGCCGCCGTCGATGAACGAGAAGTTCCGGCGATGACGAACTGCAATAAGGCATCGTTTGGATCGGTTGTTTGGATAACGAAGTTGCAGAAGTCTTTCAGTCGGAGAGGGAATATTCCGGGGACCCAATCGATTTGAGGTTTATCCAAGTGTCCGTTCGTGAAAGAGCTTTCATCTACATAATAATATAAAAAAATATAAAAAATAATAACTTTTTAATAACATTCAATAAAGAAAAAAAAAATTTTTAATGATGATAAAAATAAATTATAGGGGTTTGATATTTCTAAATAAAATAAAAAAACAAGTATCCCTAGGGGTTGTTTTGGATGGGTCGGATCTGAATTAACATTTTCAGAAGACAAAAGTCAAAAATATTTGGAAGTGAAAAAATGATTCTAATTTTGTTTCTAAGAAAATTGAAAATTTAGATCGGAAACGACGAAATTTGAGACTTCATTTCCTATTTCCACCCCTAGATATTCTTTATATGTGTTTTCGTTTTGTAACAAAAGATTTAAGAGCAAATTACGACCGCCCCTGAGGTAAGATCAATTACGAAAATCCCCTCATATTGATAATTACAACATTCCTTAAATAAGTATTTTTCTTACGAAAAACTCATTCCTTCAGTCGATAAATTTTATAGTAGACGTGTAAGACAATACATAGTTGACAAGGGTGATTGTAATTATCTAAACAGAGGGGTTTTTTTTTTTCGTAATTTAAACTTACCTCAGAGGTGGCTGTAATTTGTCCAAGATTCAATAATGCAACAACAATTTCTTTTTCTTTGAGAAAAATGCAACAAAAATTCTAAAAAATAACAAGAAGCCCAAAAATTAGTAATACTAATACCTCAATATTTAATTATTACGATTATCATTTTTTTCCCAAATCATTTTTATTGACTTGTTTTGTATAATTTTTCCTTCACTTATTGATACATTTTAAGTAAATTTAAAGTCATTATTTTGTATTTCGATTAATTAAATAGTAGTTAATTTTATATTTTATCAGGTGTAGGATCTCAAAAGCCGTATATTTACCTTTAAAAGGTACGAAGCCTTTCTCCACGAGACGCGGAATGTTTTTATTGCACATGAAATCTCCGGCACAACTAGTCTGCAGAAGCACGCCGGGAACACGGATCCGATCCGCCGCGTCCAGCACAAACCACATATGCATATCAGCAATCACGCAGCTCACGGGCGGCGGCGATCTCGGGTGGCCGCCGTTCAACCTGTCGATGAGTTCGTTGAGTGGGGCCAAGCTGTGCTCTCTCGTCGACAAACACAAAGATCTAATGTCCTGCGTAGAGTCTTCGTTCTCCGGTGGAGGTAGGCCATCGGGAATTGTGGCGAACTGGAAGTCCGGCAGGGGAAAAACGGCGGCGGTGCCGCCGGTCTTGAGGAGGCGGTTGTGGTTGTACTCCGTGTGGACGAAGGTTATGTGGAAGCCTTTGCGGTGAAGAAGAAAGGCTAACTTGAGCATCGGGTTGATGTGCCCTTGCGCCGGAAAAGGTACGCAAACTGCATGCGGCGTCGGCTTCTGTGTTTTGGCGGCGGACGCCATTTTTTTTTTGTGCGTGTTTGTTGATGCTTGATGCTGCAGTACACACAATAGAGTGTGTATTGTATATATGTATGTATAAATAGACAATGCGTGTATTTATGATTATGAAATCTGATATTATTTCATGTATATATGAGCAATCTTGTGTTAATTGCTTCATTCCTTTATTAAAATCTGATAATAATTGTTTTAATTAAGAGGGCTGATCCTTTTAAAATACTATTATATTTTAGATTTTAATTTTTTTAAGCAGAATTCAGAATAGTTACTCAGTTCCACAATTTTCCTCGAGATTGCTCTAATAAAAAGGACTTATTTTTAGAATATAATGTTAGCATTTAGCAATATAAGAACGCGTTGACCGATAAATCAATATACTATAAGCTATTGCTATCACAAAATCTAAATTTGTGAATCCACGGGATACATTTACTAATATAATATGATATGATTGGAATGATTTAAATATATAATATTCAAATGGGACTTGATAAATGCAAGACACATTTTAGTCAACGTACGACATTTTATCTTAATAAATTAAAATTTAATACTAACCTCATCTTTTTCTTTCAAATATTTATTTTGCCATTTATCAAATTTTGAGTATGACTGAGATTTGTGTCTACCAGTTCTACCGTATACGCTCGTTATTCTGGATTTGTGAAGTTTTTAGGTCAACATTTTCCATCATGAAAACTCTTCAATTCAATCAAATATTTTTAGTGTTTTCCTAATTAATTACATGATTTAATGATCAACTGTAAATTGATAGTTGATAATAGTATTTCTTTTGAATATGTTTGTATAGAAATATATATAAACAAAATTTACGTATATGTAAAAAAACTTATATATGTTTCCATAGCATATTTATAAACATACCCTTATACTTTTAATATTTAAACGTTTACCCCAAACTCCCGTATCCCCATTTTTTAGACATACCGTATTTCCGTATCCATTTTCCCATCATCCCGTATCACCGTTTCCATATCCGTGCTACGTAGCCTTTAAACACTTCAATCTAAATGATGCCTAAGGTAAAAAATTGTATGGAGCAAATCTATCTACATTATGTTCACATTTGTGTATGTGAATGAAATGAACATAGAAAACAATACAATACAATCGAAAACTCCATCAAACTTTCTCCGATTATTACGCTACCCATTTTACTAACATATAACAAATCGAACGTCGTCGTCTCCCCATCTCCCCATAATAGTAAAATCGAAATAAAACCACAAAGCGAAACTTAGGCATTTTAATTATTAAAAAATAAAAATAAAAATAATTTACCTTGTTTTCAACATGATCTTATTTCAAAAGCACCTCATGAATCAATTCCTCCAAATTCAATTGAGAAGAACCGCCAACCCCCGCCGCCACCTCAGCTTTCTCTCTCCACTCCGAAACCCTAATCTTCATCTTCTCCCCCTTCTCCCCACCACTCATCATTTCTCTCACTAGAATCTCCACTTCATCTCTCTTCACATCATTATCAATCTCCATACCCACCCCCCACTCCACACAACTAAACCGGCAATTCGTCTGCTGCTCCGCGAAAAACGGCCAACAAACCACCGGAATCCCGCCGGAGATACTCTCCAGAGTCGAATTCCACCCACTGTGCGTCAGAAACCCTCCCACCGCAGGGTGGCCCAAGACCTCCTCCTGCGGGCACCAGCTCACCATCATGCTCCGATCCTTCGTCTCCGATAAAAACTCCGGCGGCAGCATGGCGGTCTCTCCGGCGACTATATCCGGCCGTATTATCCACAGGAACGGAATCTTGCTGTTGGCCAACCCCCATGCAAACTCCGTTAGCTGCTGAGCTGTCACCACCGTTATGCTTCCGAAGTTTACGTACACCACCGAGTTGGGTTCTTTCTTGTCGAGCCATTCGATGCATTCGGGCTCTTCTTTCCATAGGCTAGTTTTGAGTGGTTCTAGGGTTTTGTCGTGGATGTGGTTGTTCATCATGAGGTGGAGTGGGCCCACCGGGTAGATTTTGACCGGGAATAGTGCTGCTGACATGGCTTCTAGAACGTCGTGCTCGAGTTCTTCGAAGGTGTTGAGGATTAGGGCTTTGGCCTTATGGAGGGCGTCGCATTCTTGGATGATGAAATTGATCATGGTGTCTTTTTGATCGGTGGTTCGGATGAAAGATGGGAAGTCCCGTAAACGGATTCCGTCCATTCCTTTAACCGAGTCGACGACCGTGTCTAGATAGCCGTTTGTTACTTGGCTCATATCTGTGCAAATGGGGTTATGAGAATTTAGGGTTATACATATAGGGAGAGGGAGAGAAGAAATTATATATAATACAAATTACACTCTCTCCTTCCTATTTTAACTGTCGTTTTGAGTTGATGCATATATATATTAAGAAAACTAATAGATTTGTATGGATTCTAAGGAAAAAAAGAAAATAAATGACTGAAATACCCCTCTCATTAATTGTGTCATCGATCATTCTCTCAATCAATTAAGATCTTTTAAAATAGTAACGGTGGAACTAAGAAAAATATAATAAATGCATGTTTTATAGAAATTATAAAACTGAAATGCTAAATTCGGCAGTAATTTTAACAAGTCATGCACATAATTAAAAATATTTAATATCTTCTCTACTCCTTCCTCACCTTTCTTTTACCCTAATTTTTTTTCACAGAATCACACACTAAAAGCGCCCCTAGCATTCCAAGTTCCAATTTGAAAAAAATCTTCACATATTCAAACTAAAATAAAGTTGGAGAGGAAAAAAATCGAATTGATATGGATTTGAATAATTAAATAGGCTTAATGCAATCGAATAAATATTAATTAAAACTGAACTCACGTTTTATGATTATTCACGTAAAAGAATAATGAATTTTGAGTGACTTGGATAAAATCATCTTAGAGAGAAGTTAGAAAAAATATGAGCAGAGATAAAAAAAATTTTAATTTATGTGTGAAATTCAGTAAATTTTAGTGTAGGATTTAGCACACCCCATTCTAGAATGGCAAATAATTTGAACAAATTAAAGTAATATTTGGCTACATGTTGGGAGTGATCAAATTATAATATTTAAATTGGAACTTCGAGAGTTTCCGAAAGGGTATTTTGATAGAATAATACTTGAAATATCGATTAATGTTTATTTGTATCTTAGTGAAAATATTTTAATAAGTAGCAGTCAATTCATGTTCGTACGTAAGATACATTTTTGTTTTAGAACATTGAGATTTTGTTTTGAAACTTTTAACAAGTACGATTTTATTTCGGAAGAGAGTGCTAAAATATTACCCAACATGTGAAAATTATGATGTTATGTGGGCCTATGCCCAATCAGTTTTCACGAGTTATTCTATGCTACACTCTGTGAAATTATCAACATAGGTTTATATCATTTGTCTACACAAAAAAACATATATACATACAACTATACACGTTTGTGCGTTAGATGAATGGGAAAAATAGATATTATACCTGGTTATTTATATTGGGTGGATTTCAATCGGTGATCTGATTAAATAACAATTCAGTAAACACATATACACATGATTATGTATGTAATTATATTTAACTTTACAGTTAAAATCTATTGCGTATAAATAATCAGGTGTAAAATTTAATTAGTCGATAAATGGTAATGTTATAGGATAAGATAGGACAAATTTTTCCAGACTAATAATTTCTCAATTAATGCTTGAAATAGTAGGTGGACTTAAATGAAAATCATTTTTTAATAGTGGCTATCCAAAATCAAACCACCGACTACCCCCAAAAAGCTAATAAAATAAAATATTTTTACTCAAATAATTGGAGTGAAGAGGGACCCAGAAATAAATACGAATAAAATATATGCAAGT